CAGAACTCTATAGACTATGTACAAACTTAGACAGAAGCCCTTTTCTCCAATGACAAACACATTAAAAAGTTAAATACATATGCCAAAGTTGTGTACACAACAAAATTAGTGGTCTGAAAAATAATTATGATACAAAAGAGCTGATTTGGATTAGGATAAGTAAAAAAGTATAAATAATCGCAAATGCTACATAGCTAACCAGCAAGCATCGGAATTTCCAGAAGCATAGCAGAGACCATGTAGACACATTCAAGGAGTTCTGTGTTAATATGCATATGATAAGGGGTCTGTAAAGCACGCTCGCGTTTCTCTTCCTCTGGTGACTTTTCATACCGAGCCTGAGTATACAGGCCTTGAGCTAGCAGCTCGCGTACCCGCATGCTGCTCATCAAATCGACAAGGGCGTTGTGAGCCTCGCGAATGTGGCCCTGACGGAAGGCGCAGAGACCCAGTTGCACTATAGCTCGATTGTAGAGGATCTGATGAGGCGACGAAAAAGAAGTGGTGTGAGAAAAAAGGCAATACGATTGTGTAGATTATTGAGTGAAAGGACTAATTTCTCCTTACCATCGTGGACTGATCGGCGTGGTCTATGTTCATCTGTAGGTTAGACATGAGCATCAGGTCTCTGGCCTTGTACCAATGATCGTAAAGAGCAAGAAAGTAAATATGGCAGAGGATTGCACGGGTTCTCAGACGATCCGTTTTGTCATTGGAATAAATGTACCGACAGAGTTGCTCCATTATAGCATGGCTAGATGCTTCGCCTATTGCCTCTGGGCCTCCACTTTCAAATTTACGAGCCCATTCGAAATCAAACTGAAAATTTTAGCAGAGAATGAGTTTTAAAGTGCATCTAATCGTGAATAAAAACAGAATAGATTAAGCAGATATTTTAGAAATAGATAATTGAAATGATAATCGGAATTCATCGAGAGTAGCTAGTCGTGCTATTCAAATGTGAGATGCTAGGATCAAAACAGCTTCAGAAGATTTAAATCGTTTAAATAGTTATGCGAAAGTATAAAAGAATACAGATCCTTAATAGACAAAATTTGTCTCTAAAGTGGTAGCATTTCTTGCATGCTCTTAAAGTGTATATTTATTGCCTATTTATTCAGAGTAATCAAGTAACATGACATACCAAAAATTTGAGTCATAAAATTGTGAAAATAACCTGGATAAAGTAAAAGAGTAAGTCCGTGGCAATACAAACTATGATTCCATTAAAACGTATAAGAATGCACATGACCAGGTGTTCAA